GCATAACAAGTTTAATAGTTTTACAGATGTTTATCACATTTAAAGAAAAACACAGCAGATTCAAGAATAAGCTTGTTGTTGTTTTAGTGTTACAAAATAGGCCTAGATGTATATAGTTCATACAATGGAATAAATTAAAGTGGTAATGTAGTAGGCCTAAATATATATACAGGTCATATAATGGAGAAAATTATTGTTTTATTTTATAATAAACATGTGATGTCTAAATGTCCTACTTCATCATTATTTTTAGGTGTCTAGTTGTCCTGGATTAATTTCAAGGTAGTAGTACTAAGTTATAAGTTACTCAAATTATTAAATATTAGTTTAAAACAAAGAATTATTATAAGTGTTAGCAAGTAGGAAAGATTATTTATCTTAAGAGTGTATATGCAACTAAGTGGTGTGTAGTACTAGTAAGTAACAGTACAAGTTAATAGGGATTTTATTGTTAATCTATAGTGTGAAATAGCTTAATTTCAGTTAAGTATACAGTTATTGAGCGGATAGATGAGAAATAGGAAATAAAAACTTATCAACTTCAATATGGTTAAAGATCATCCTGGGGAAAGTTGAGTAAAATTAATAGGGATGACAGGGTTTGGCTATGAAAATTGTTGGTTTAGTTGTGACTTTCAGGAAGCTTAGGAACACACAGTACATCATACTCACAAAGCTTGCTTACTTGAGGATAAGTTGGAGACAGTTTGGGGAAGATTGGCCTATTAGATGGGGAAAATAGTAGGATGAAAGCAGAAAATAAAGAAGCAAGAAAGGTACTGAGCCTAGTGCATAGTTAAGGCAAAGGTGTAATTGGTGGTGGATGAGCATGTGAGGGCTGGGTTGAACCCTCTCCAGACAGGTCATGGGTCAAAGGCCATGTCATTACCATATCAATAAGTTTGGTATCAAACTGTACATTATAATTCAAATGTTAGTATTATACATTATTTAATTTTTTAAATATTTAAAAAAAAACTGTTAAACATCAATCTTTGTGTGTCACATGGTATGTTGAATACAGTACTGGCTAAAATTAGATGTTTACGAGTGTCAAAATACTAAGTCTATAGTTTTGTACAAATTAGGAACTCAAATTATCGATACTGACAACCTAGAATATAAAATAAGAACCTCATATCTTTTCTATTTGCTGAGATATCACTCGTGTACTGAATCAAACACAGTGACCCTGCTCACCTCTTTCCATTTGTGGAAACGGTCCCTTATATACACTTACTTCAATATATGACATGTGAATAACCAATC